GGCCCGGGGCGCCCGGCCCGCGCGCCGCGGCGGTGCCGTCTAGTCGCCCTTGGGCTCCTCGGGGATCTGGGGCAGGCCCTGGTCGTGGCGCGTGGGCTTGGCGCCGCCGTAGTCCTGCACGGCCTTGGGCTCGTTGGTGCGGTACGAGCCCTTGTAGCGGTGGTGGTAGAAGTAGAGCAGCGCCAGGAGCGCGCCGAGCAGCAGCAGCAGGAAGACGACGACTGCGGGGAGCGCGCGGGTGAGGGCGGGCAGGGCGCGCGGGCCGCGCGCTCCCGCCGCGGGCGCCACTCACAGCCCACGATGACGCCGAGCCAGCCGTCGTCGTGCACGTGCGGGAAGTCTGCGGGAGAGCGGGCGCCGGGGCTGAGCGCGGGGCGGGCGCCGCGGGCCCGGCGGCAGCACGGTGGCGGCAGCGCCTACCTGTGCCCAGGTACCAGGGGTCCATCTCGGGCGGGATGAGCAGGGTGCCGAGCGGCAGCTTGGCAGCGCAGCTCGACTCCACCAGCTCGCCGCGCACGCTGTAGGGCGCCGGGGCGCCGCCGGGCCGGAAGATGGCCTTGAGCGGCACGATGCTGTTGAACTTGACGCCCGAGAGGCAGCCCGAGAAGCCGGGCGTGTTGTAGCGCTGGATCTCGGGGTCGATGACGCCGGTCTCTGCGGCGCGCAGGGCAGGGCTGAGCGGCGCCGCCCGCGGCGCCGCCCGCCGCGCGCCTCCCCCGGCCCCGCTCACCCATCACGCGGCCCAGGTAGAGGTTCTTGGGCGAGTCCAGCTTGCTGTCCACGAAGGGCGAGAACTGCTGCTCCATGACGGGCAGGTAGTCAACCTGGGCGGGGAGAGAGGGCACCGTGGGCACCCCGCGCCCGCCACCCACCGCCGCCCGCCGCGGCACCCACCTGCGTGTAGAGCATGCGGTAGAAGCGGGTGATGTTGACGTGGTGCGGCCGCCCGTCCGTCACCGGCTTGGTGGTGAGGGCGAAGACGTAGGGGCTGGTGCCCAGCTGGTAGCGCAGCTGGAGGCTCCCTGCGGGGCGGCGCGGGCTGTGAGCGGCCCCGGCCCGGCCGCGGCGCCCGCCCGCGCCCCGCGCCCTCACCGTCGTCCTTGATGAGCACGGCCAGGTAGTCCTTGACGAAGGAGCTGACGTAGAGCAGCACGGCGGGCGCGGCGGTGGTGCTGAAGCTGAAGCTCACCTCCTCGCTCGTCAGGTTGTAGCCGGGCAGCGGCTGCCAGGGGCTGCCCACGAGGCTGGCGAACTCGCGGGCCGCGTGCAGCGACACGGGCAGGATGTTGTAGCGCACCCAGGTGCCCTCCTCGAAGTAGCCGCCGATGTCTGCGGGGCGCCGCGGGCGTCAGCGGGGCCCGGCCACGCGCCCCAGGGTGCCCGCGCGCGGCGCCGCCGCTCACCGCGGTTGCAGAAGGGCCCGTCGAAGGCGGAGACGCTGCAGTTGCAGGTGTAGTGGCTGTAGCGCTCCACGCAGAGCCCGCTGTTCTGGCAGGGCACGGGCGGCTCCTGGCAGTGCCCGCTGCAGTTGACGCGCACGCCCTCGCTGGCGTTGGCCTTGCCCTCCAGGTTGAGCGTCACGCCGTTCATGCGCAGCGCCCGCAGGCAGCCCAGGAAGGGCCGCATCTTGTGCTCGGCGGCGCCTGCCGGGAGGCGTCAGCGCCGCGCGGCCACCGCCGGCCCCGCTGCCACCGGCCCTGCTGCCACCAGCCCCCCTTGCCACCGGCATCCATTGCCACCGGTCCCCATTGCCACCGGTCCCCATTGCCACCAGCCCCCATTGCCACCGGCACCCATTGCCACCGGTGCCCATTGCCACTAGCCCCGCTGCCACCAGCCCCGCTGCCACCAGCCCCCATTGCCACCGGCACCCATTGCCACCGGTCCCCCTTGCCACCAGCCCCGCTGCCACCAGCCCCCCTTGCCACCGGCATCCATTGCCACCGGTCCCCATTGCCACCAGCCCCCATTGCCACCAGCACCCATTGCCACCGGCCCCCATTGCCACTAGCCGCCACTGCCACCAGCCCCACTGCTGCCAACCCCATTGCCACCAGCCTCCATTGCCACTGGCCCTGTTGCCACCAGCCCCGCTGTCACTGGCCCCCATTGCCACTGGCCACCATTGCCAACAGCCTCCGCTATCACTGGCCCCCATTGCCACCAGCCCCATTGCCAGTGGCCCCACTGCCACTGGCCCCGCTACCACCGGCCTTCATTGCCACCAGTCCCGCTACCACTGGTCCCATTGCCACCGGCCACCACCAGCCCCATTGCCACCAGCCCCGCTGTCACCGACCCCCATTGCCACCAGCCCCATTGCCAGTGGCCCCACTGCCACCGGCCCCCATTGTCACTGGCCCCCGTTGTCACCAGCCCCACTGCTGCCAACCCCACTGCCACCGGCTCTGCTGCCACCGGTCCCTCTGCCACCAGCCCCCGTTGCCACCGGCCCCCATTGCCGTCGGCTCCCACTGCCATCAGCCCCCATTGCCGCTGGCCCTGCTGCCACCAGCCCCGCTGTCACCAGCCCCCATTGCCATGCGCCCCGTTGCCACCGGCCCCGCTGCCCACGGCCGGCGGGCGCCGTGCTCACCCACGTAGAGCGGCCGGTCGAAGCTCAGGTGCACGAAGCTCTGCGGCGGCGCCGGGCGCACCACCCAGGGCAGCTTGTCCACCCGCAGCCGCGCCAGCTTCACGTTGAGCTCGGCCTTCACCTGGTGCCACTCGTCGTCGTTCCAGGGCACCGGCGAGCGCACCGTCAGGTTCTCGTAGCCGTTGCCCACGTCGTAGGCGAACATGACGTCCCGGGAGGCTGCGGGCGGGCGCGGGGTGAGCGGGTGGCGCCGCCCCCGCCCCGCGCGCCACCCGGCCCCGCGCCCGCCCTACTGTTGAGCTCCACGCGGATGTAGTAGCGGGAGCCAGGGTTCTCCAGGAAGACGCCGGACGGCGCCGTGGTTTTGAAGTAGAAAGAGATGTCGAGGCTGTGGTTGGCCTGGAAGGTGGGGAAGAGCAGCGCCGTGCCGCGGTTGAAGGAGACCGTGTTCCAGGTGTTGCCTGCGGGAAGGACGGCGGCGTGAGTGCCCGCGGGGTCCCGCAGCGCCCGCCCGCCGGCCCCGCACTCACGGTCCCCGTAGCAGCGCAGCGGCCCCAGCAGGAACTGGGCCTCGGAGCCCGAGCGGTTGGTGTCCCCCACCACCACCTGCGTGACGGGCAGGTGGTCCACGAAGGTCAGCAGGCCCCGGTCCGTCCTCCTGCAAGGGCGCCGCGTGAGGCGGGCCGCGGGGGGCTGGCGCCCCGCGCCGCGGGCACCCCGCTCACCACAGCGCGTGGTCGGCGTCGCAGTTGCAGAAGTACTTGGGGTCGGCGCAGTTCTTGTCCAGGCCGCAGGCGCAGCGCTGGATGCCCGGCCGCGAGCCGCCCCAGTAGTAGTGACGCTCGTTGTGGCGGCCCATCCAGAAGCTGAAGGGCAGCCCGGCTGCGGGCAGCGCGGCAGGGTAAGGGCGCCGCGTTGCCCCGTGGCATCGCCCCGCGGCGTCGCCCCGTGGCGTCACCCCACTGCATTGCCCTGCGCATTGCGCTGCAGCATCACTCCCCGGCACTGCCCACTGCATCGCCCTGTGCATCATGCTTCAGGATCGCCCCCCGGCACTGCCCCACTGCATTGCCCTACATGGCACCCTGCAGAATCGCCCCCTGGCAGTGCCCCACTGCATCGCACCACATGTCACCCTGCAGCCTTGCCCCCTGACACTGCCCCATTGCATTACCCTGTGCATTG